CAAGGTGCCCGTTCACATGATGAGAGTATGCTACGAGACCAGCAGGAAGTTCAGCAGGTAAGCTCCTTCAGCAGGCAGATCCACTCCTCCAGGTAAGCTTTGATCTCATGTGTGATCTTGGCTTCCTGATGACCGCCGCGTCTCTCATATTTGGCGGTATCACGCTTGAGGATAGATGTGATTGTCGACCGGGGGATGTCGTGAGCTTTTGCAATAGCATAAGGACATTGACCGTAAACACGAGCCGCTAAAACCCTCATCCGTTCGACTTCCGTAGTCTTATGATACTTCATTCCGGGTCGAGGCATATGGAGAACGAACCACCTGCAAGAAACGCGCAGTTGAGAACTCTATGTACATCAAGACTTCGACGCCATTCAACTCTCGTGTCGCATGTCCTAACCTGAACCACCCTGGAGTGATCGATTGTGATGAGTGCCTCTGCGCGCGATAACTGTGCACCATGAGAGTACCTCAAGAACGCTTCGCACAACTGGTGTTGTGTGAATAGTGCATTTCGAGACATGATCAAAAAGGACGTTCATTGGTCGAAATTGGTCTTGTGTATGACGAAGTTGAAGTTGTGTTTCCGAATTCGTAAATTTCATTCACGCATTTGAACTTTCATTTGCGAGTGGTCTACGAAAATCGAACTTTCATTTCGAATTTGAGATTTCATTCGGTGAAACTCCTCTCATCCGACCAAAACCAAATTTCATTTATCTAATTTGTTCTCTCATTTGCTGAATTTGAGATTGAAAAGATGTAGTTCAGCCATTTGCTGATTCGATTTCAGTGCTCCGGAGATAATAACTTCAAGATCACGCATACCTGAGATGATCGGACTAACTCCAAAGCTAACCTAATCAACGTGTTGCCTCACTGACGATTCGATCATATTGCTAGACGCTAAGGATTCCTCAGTAAGGAACTACACGAGGCCAGTCTATCGAAGACAATGTTGCGTGTTGTGGTTTGCAACGCACAACATTGTCTGCGATCCTCTGTCACAACTGGTGCATGCTGAGAGAGGTCTCAAGTTTTATGTCGACCAATTGAAGATGCAGGTTGTCAGGTAAGTCTTGTCCCGATTCACGTGCGCGTCACATGCTTATCTACGGGTACTCAAAACATGATGACTTCTTCCAGTACTCTTCGGCTAGCTTGATTCTCCAGCGAAAGGCATATGGGATGCAAACACCGGTCCGGTCACAGCTTCCCACCCAAAACTCGTCAACTCAACTCGTCCCACCCTGCCGACTTTACCGGTGTCCATCGGACCGCCAGTGCCAGTTTTCCACCCTCACACAGCTAGCCTAGCTGAGCTAGGGATTGCCCGCCAAGTTGCAGACAATCAGAAACAACCGGGTGCTGGAGGGCGAGAAAATTGACCCAGCACGCTCACCGTGAAAAAAAGATCGGTCCATTCACTCGTTGATGATAAAGTAAGTGTCAGTGAACCTCACAATAAAGTTAAGACCGGCAGCGACAACAACAAACATCACAATAAAGTTAAGACCGGCAACAACAACAACAACAACAACAACAACAACAACATCATCATCATCATCATCATCATCATCATCATCATCATCATCATCAA